AGAATAATGAAATTATATTTTAACCGCCTCACATCAAAGTTCAGTGCTTCCGATAAGTTTCCACTACAGCTTCGCCCCAGGGCAATGCAATCCCTTTTATTAATACTTTGTCCTGGTTCATAGATGGATGAATCACTACATGGATATCAATACAACCTTTAGCCACAGACTATTATCAAAATCAGCATCCATGGCGATTTTAGAAGGTTTCATTACACCTCCGTGGGCAAGCACACTGCAGAGATGCAAATCTTTCAGGCACTGATTACAATAATTTCGTAGCCGAGAGCCCAGAATACCACAGTCCCAATTTATTATATTTTATTTTAACTGCCATCCTAACATGGAGGACAGAAACTTTGTTGGAAAATATCCACATTTACTATCACAATTTAGGGGGGGGGAATCTATTATTTTCAATAAGGCTCATTTAAATTAATAGACCAAAAGTCACTGACTTCAGTGAGTAGGATTAGCATTCGGTGCTACACCTTTATCGTATATGACAAACCTGTATGCAAAACTGTGCATGCAATGAGAAATGTGCGTGAAAATGCTGGCACGTTTTCATAAGGTCTTTTAAAAAAAGAATAGCGAACTGATGCAGAAATGGGGCAAACACGTGGAGAGGAGAAACAAAAAGTGTCAGATTTGTCCATCCTTAATGCAGACAGGCAGGCAGGCACACACCACATGTTCCAGTCTTGTCTGTTCCCATGTCCACTTAGGTTCTCTAAGGACATCAGAGGAACCCAGCTAGACTTGAACCAAAGGTCCATCTATTCCATTTCCTAAGCCGTATTCTAAACCATATTCACACTATGACTTTAAAGCAGTGTTTCCCCAAACTTGGGTCTCCAGCTCTTTTTGGACCACAACTCCCATCATCCTTAGCGAGCAGGACCAGTGGTCAGGGATGATGAGAACAGTAGTCCAAAAACAGTTGGAGACTTGTGTTTGGGAAACACTGTTTTAAAGCAATATGATGCCTCTTTAAATCATAATCCCCCCCCCAAAAAAATACTAATTCTGGGGTCTGTAGTTTGTTAAGGGTGCTGAAAGCTGTTAAGAGAACCTCTATTTGCAGAGCTATAGTTCTCAGAGTTCCCCATGAAAAAGGACTGGTTGTTACACTGCGAACTGCAGCCCTGTGAGGGGACTGGGGGGGGGTCTCCTAATAATTCTCAACCTTATTAACAAGCTACAGCTCCCATAATTCTTTGGGGAAAGCCATGGCTACTCAAAGGGATATCATGGTGCCTTAAATGTGTGGTGTGAATGTAGCCACAGTCTTCAGCTTGAGGCATCTGGGAAGCCCAGCATGAAGGCAGCAGTGCAGCCCCCTTGTTTGTCCCAAAATTATTCAGACGGGAAATGGACAGGTCCATCCATCCCCACCTGGGATGGAGAACCTGATGCCTGGCAGATGGACTTTGTGTGCAACTCCCATCATTCATGACCATTGGCCATGGCTCATGGGAGTTGCAGTCCAACAACATCATGAGGGCACCAGTTTGGGAAGGCTGAACAAGCAGACCCTCCAAGTGTCCCTATTTTCCAGGGACACACCAAATTTACAGAAGCCGTCCCAGTTTTTGATTTGATCCTAGAAGGTCCCGCTTTTCCTTAAAGGTAAAGGTAAAGGGACCCCTGACCATTAGGTCCAGTCTTGACCAACTCTGGGGTTGCGACGCTCATCTCGCTCTATAGGCCGAGGGAGCCGGCGTACAGCTTCTGGGTCATGTGGCCAGCATGACTAAGCTGCTTCTGGTGAACCAGAGCAGCGCACAGAAACGCCGTTTACCTTCCCGCTGGAACGGTACCTATTTATCTACTTGCACTTTGACGTGCTTTCAAACTGCTTTTCCTTAGGATGTCCCTATTTTCATTGGAGAAATGTTGGAGGGTATGGAGGTATGTGACTCCCAGAGCCAAGGAGACAAGTAACTATACAACCTTTAGAAGATACCTGAAGGCAGCCCTATAATAATAATGATAAATAATAAAATTTTATTTATATCCCGCCCTCCCCAGCCGAAGTCGGGCTCAGAGCGGCTAACAACAATAAAATGACACAACACTCTAAAATCATTTCATTATAGAATCAATTCAAATCAGATTAATAAAACTATATAGTTTTATTACGTTTTTATATGTGTTGGAAGCCGCCCAGAGTATGATGATGATGATTATCATTATTATGGAATAGGATGTCCCTATTTTCATGGGAGAAATATTGGAAGGTATGAACAAGGAGATCTGCTGAAGACTGCCACCACCCTCAACTTCATAGGCCTAAGCCATGTTTATACAGTGGTACCTCTAGATACGTACGGGATCCGTTCCGGAGCCCCATTCACATCTAGAGGTAAACGTAACTAGCGATGGCACGTCTGCGCACCCGTGCGTCGCTTTTCGCCACTTCTGCGCATGCACGTGGCATAATTTTGAGCATATGCGCATGTGCAAGTGGTGAAACCCGGAAGTAACGCACTCCATGGAAGTGGAAGTAACGCACTTGAATGCGCTCAACTCGAAGCGTACTTAACCTGAGGTATGACTGTAGCTCCTTTGCTACAAGATGCATTTCGAAAACAAGCAAGCAAGCAATACTCAGTATAGACCATAACCTTGTTCTTACTGAGATGGTTACTCTGTGACCTGGTTGTGCTAATTTCTGGACTCAGGCTGGAGCTCATGTGATTCAACGGTCCTCCATAAAATAAACAAATCCCAGCACATAGAAAGCTAGGGTGAAAAGCCTTCTCCCTGACATAGTAGCCTTCTGTAGGCAGGGACTTTTTCTGTCATTCCTACAGGCCAGACACAGCTTCACTATCTCATTGAGAGCTGAGCGCTTGAGGCAGCCACTCTTGGAAACGATGCTCTTCCGTGCTCTCCACCAGGTCTCAAGTTGCATTCTTCAACTCCTTCAAGGCCAACGCAACAAGGAACATTCCTTGCCTTTCTCCGTGTCATTATAAGATAATCTAATACAAAAAGGTCTCCTATTTTCATCTAGGCATTAAACTATCTACAGACAGTGCAGTCAAGAGTGAAGGTTATTTATGTCATGCTTGTTAAAGAAGTACCCCTTTCAACACACGAGGAACACAGTTCAACTGGAGAGATAAGGAAACAGCCAGAAATGTCCCTTTTCTTTTTCCACGAATTATCTCTTCACTCCTTCTTAAGGTGGAGAGGCCAGGCAGAGCTAGCTAGCTTTGAAAGCTAGTGGAAATGGTTGTGCTCAGAATCAAATGGCTTTCATTCTGATGGTGATTCACAGAAATAAAAGTGGCTGTTCCAGAATGGGAAATAATAATTTTTTAAAATGCGTTTTTCAAGGTCAGATTGAAGACACCAGCCTTGTAAGAAGATGGAAGTCTCAAATGCAGCAGTATTTTTTATAAACAATAACAACAAAAACCTATATGTCCCCCATCCCACCCCACTGTTTGTCATTTTCTGGATCACTGGGGGCAGATTACGCTGCAAGGCTCCACAGGACTTCCACAAAACACACATAGAGGCAGGCAGTTCCAACACCGTATGGTATATTGAGGGCTACAGTACCAGGTAAGGTTACTGCAGCCCTTACCCCAGAGGTTGCCAACACATGGCCATATCCTCCAACATTTCTCTAATGAAAATAGGGATGTCTTCTTCTTCTTCTTCTTCTTCTTCTTCTTCTTCTTCTTCTTCTTCTTCTTCTTATCCTGCCCACTCTGGGCAGCTTACAACTCATATAAAAACATAAAAAAATTAAACATAAAAAACGGCCTTCAGGTGTCTTCTTAAGGTTGCGTAGTTATTTATCTCCTTGGCTCGGGGGGGGGGGGCGGGTTGCATAACTCGATACCTTCCAAAATTTATCCTATCAAAATAGGGATGTCCTAAGGAAAAATGGGACATTCCAAGATCAAATAAAAAAACAGGATGGTTTCTGGAAATCCAGGACTGTCCCTTGAAAATAGGGACACTTGGAGGGTCTGCATGGGCAGCAGTCTGTCCACCAGAACCTCTGACAGGGCACAACATAGAAGCCAACTCCTAGGGGGTGAGGGGTCTTTGCCCCCCATAAAATATTTCAGGGGGCCGAGTCCGCCCCCCAAGTTGATTGGCATTGCCATTCAAATGGTGTGCATGCACTGTGTCATGTGACTATGTGGGGCAGGGCATACCTGCCCCCTCTCCAATATTTAATTCAAGTTGGCCCTCCTGGGGCACACAGAAGGCCTCCATAAATCTCCCTTCAAAAATCCATGGTGCATGATGGACTCTTTGCAGTTCCTGTTTGGACTCACTTGGTAATGTTGCTGGAGAGCTCTTAGCAATATGTCCTTGGGGTATGTCTATTGAAAATACGTGATCTCTCCAGGACTGGTGCTCAAAACACGAGCTAAGTCCCAGTAATCAATGTACTAAACTTCAGCCACTAGAATGAAGTTCCACCTTAACAGCCATGCCGAAGATCCCCGAAGCATCACTTTTTCTACATCTGTGGGTCTGAAGAAGCCCTTTTGCAGCTGCCCATGTCACTAGGCTGGGCCCACTCCTCATAACATCACTAAGACAGCTAATAAGGCTCCCGATGAATGATTAGTATGAATTTCTGCACTGCTAATTTCCGTAACTATCACTCTCTGAAAGACAGCTCAAGGGATTTTCGGGTGCGGGGTTTGCCTCTTGTCCCTGAAAACAGAGGGCTGCATTATTTGACAGAGCTCAAATCGGCGTGTCCGGTTTCAGTGGCCTAATGTGGGCTGCATTTTAAAATGATACAATATTTTGAAATGTGCAACTGCCTCGCTGATGCCTCCTGCTTCGTGACAGGCCCTCGGGGACTCTGCTTCCTGACTGAACGAGGCACCTGATGTGATGCCTCACTCTGGACATAAGAAGAGCCCGGCTGGATCATAGAAATCATAGAACTGTAGAGTTGGAAGGGACCCTGAGGATCATCTAGTCCAACCCCCTGCAATGCAGGAATACACAGCTATCCCAAACAATGATCAAACTTGCAACCTTGGCATTATCAGCACCACGCTCTAATCAACTGAGCTGATAGTCCATAGGCCCATTGTAGTTCAGCATTTTGCTCTTAAATTAGCCAGCCAGACACCCCTGGGCAACAGCATCTCTCCCCCCTTGTGATTCTCAGTGACTTGTCATCAGAAGAATGATGCCTCTGAAAGTGGACGGAGAACACAGCCATTGTGGTTACTGGCCACTGAAAACCTTCTCCTCCATTAACATCTTGAGTCCCCTTTTAAAACCATTGAATAAGATTTCAGCAATTAAGAGCAGAAGTCCAACATTCTGCTCTTACACTGGCCAACCAGAGGTCCGGCTCCAGAGTTGCCATATTAAAGACGAATCTACCAGATGCACAGTCCCTGAAACATGTAAACTGAAATAATAATAATAATAATAATAATAATTTATTATTTATACCCCGCCCATCTGTCTGGGTTTCCCCAGCCACTCTGGGCAGCTTCCAGCAAAATATTAAAATAATTAATCAAATATTAAAAGCTTCACCAAACAGGGCTGCCTTCAGATGTCTTCTAAAAGTCCGATAGTTGTTTTTCTCTTTGACATCTGATGGGAGGGCGTTCCACAGGGTGGGCACCACTACTGAGAAGGCCCTCTGCCTGTTTCCCTGTAACTTCACTTCTCGCAATGAAGGAACCGCCATAAGGCCCTTGGCGCTGGACCTCACACCCATCCTTGAAAATTCACATTTCTCAATCTTGCAATGCAGTTCTGCAATCAAGCATGTTCAAAATACAAAGACTCATAGAACTGTAGATTGGAAGGGATCCCATGCATAGCAACCCACCCCTAGGGGACAAGGGAGCACCCCCCAATAAAATATTTGAAGGGGCCAGGGGGCCCCAAAGTTGATGGGAACTGCCATTCAAATGGGGTGTGGGTGTGTGCCGTGTCATGTGGTCCATTATATGGGGCAGGGTTTATCTGCTCCCCCCCAAATATTTTATTCAAGATGGCACCCCTGATTCCAAGGGTCAGCTAGTCCAATTCTCTGCAAAGCAGAGATCCCTGACAGATGGCCATCCAACTTGGTAAAAATAACACACCAAAGGGAAATTGCTTTGCAAGAAGAAGTGGTGTATATTAGGAGGAACATAACACTAAAATGCTGATGAATTTTCATTCTTGGGGAGGGAGGAGAAAAAGGGAAACCAATGTGGAAACATGGAGAACGGACCTGAAGAATGGAAGAAGGAAAAAATGAGAGAAGCCTACACTGACAGGTTCACCATTAGCCTTACTCAGAGTAGACTCTCTGAAATCAAGAGATGCAGGCAACTTATGACCACTAATGTTGATGGATCTACTCTGAGTAGTACGTGGTTGGCTTCATCCTGAAGATACACACCTCTTGTGTAGCCTTTAGAGCGATCTGTCTGGAAGCAAAGGACACCTGGAACTTCAAACAGTGTTCAAACCCCTGTCAGACTGGAATGTAATTAGAGCAAGTTCAACAGCATCCTGAAGCAGCGGAGGTCAGAGAGCAAGAGAGAGAGAGAGATCTGGCAGAAGGACTGAGCTGGGTCATTACTATGGGAGCGGGGGGTAGGACATGTACGACAAACCTTTAAGTCCCTTAATGACCGTGAACATTTCAGTTTGGGTTCCTCATTGGGGACGATCCGCCCTGAACTGCAATAGAAACCACCTCAAACTTAGAACCTCTAGCTTTGATGCTTTGATAGAAGCCAGCTTTGTGCGATGCTCGATTTAGAGAGCGGCAGCCAGTGCTAGCCCTACTCAGAATAGATCCATTGAAGTTAATGGGGGTGGCTAACAAAGGTCCCCTAATTTCAATGGGTCTAATTTGAGTTGAAGTTAGTTGGATACAAAGAATATTTCTGCAAGCAATTTCACCTAATACAGTGGTGCCTCAGCTTACATACGCTTCAGGTTACATACGCTTCAGGTTACAGACTCCGCTAACCCAGAAATAGTGCTTCAGGTTAAGAACTTTGCTTCAGGATGAGAACAGAAATCGGCGCGACAGCAGCAGGAGGCCCCATTAGCTAAAGTGGTGCTTCAGGTTAAGAACAGTTTCAGGTTAAGTACAGACCTCCGGAACAAATTAAGTACTTAACCAAAGGTACCACTGTATACACTTTTTAAAAAAATGTACATCTTCCTATTATATATGGATTTTTGCATTGGATTGTGGGGAAGGGGTAAAAACAGAGCAAGTGAATGTTTGGTGAGGGTGCTCTCTCTCTCTCTCTCTCTCTCCATTTACAAGTGACAACAATGGAGTTGTGACCAAGGGTGCCAACGCAAGTAAAATGTTGGTGGGGGGCAGGTAAGCCTTGCCTCACATCATCCATCACAAGACACAACACACACACACACCATTTGAATGGCAATGCCTATTAACTTTCGGGGGCTCGGCCCCCACAAATACTTTATTGGGAAGGGGTGAGGGCACCTCAGCCTTAGGTGTTGGCTCCTACGGTTGCGACATTTTGCTGAATTCTCTCTGTGGTGTGTGCATAAAATTCTCCAACTCTTTAGAAAGAAAATCCTCAGGAAATCAATCTGAACATCTCTTTTGAGGAATTTCAGCCCAGCCAGCCACAGTCGCCTCTGAAGACAGGACCGCTTTGAGAAATCGGCTGCACGCAATCTCAATATTCAGCCAGGTTTGTGCTGGAGCACCTGAACTAGAAACCTTAATGACGCTTAACTGTGATGAATTACTATATGATAACACCATAAATAATAAACAAACCAATTTATGTCGTAGGTACATTAGAATATTTGTAACTTGCCAAGGGCTCCCTGGGGCGGCTGACAAAATTGTAAAGCAGGTGCATAATGAAAGCAACAATTAAAACATAATTGCCCCCAGAAGCAATCAATTAAGTAAAAAAAAAAAAAAGATAACAAGGCCAGCAGGGGTTTTTGTTAAAGGAATCTGTATAGAAGGTCTCTCATAGCCCTTCAGGTGTTGCTGAACTACAACTCCCATCATCCTTGGCCATAGGCCATTCTAGCAGGGGCTGATGGGAGTCGGAGTCCAACAGCACCTGGAAGGCCAAAGGTTTCCCACCCCTGATGAATAGCATACTGAATTATTATTATTATTATTATTATTATTATTATTATTATTATTGAATAGGACATTCCTATTTTCATCAGAGAAATGTTGGAGGGTATGAAACAGGATGCTGGACTAGTTCCTGATCCAGGAGGGCTCTTCTTACTTGCAAGTGGTGAATCAAAGCATCAGTACACATGGAAATAGTGTAGGTAGCAGATTAATATGCCAGATCTACATCCAAGACTGCTGACTCAGTTATTTTAAAACTCCAGTAATGGACTTTGTTGGGTTTTTTTGTTTTTGTTTCTTAAAATGGCATTAGCATTTAAATGGTAACAGCATTATAAAGGTGAAGGTTCAGCAGAATATGATCAATTTATTGAAATTTGCAAATGTTCCCTTTGAGTGTGTGTGCGTGCCTGCGATACGCACACACAGACAGCTTTTCGCGCTGCTGGGATTTTATTTGGTGTTATGTCAGGAAAAAAGTCTATAGCATCAAGTAGCACTCTTGAGTCGGCAGCTGCTAGGTGGAGACAAGTAAGAATTTTACCCTTCAATTTCTCACCCTCCTTCCAAAGCTTCATTTCCTTCAAAGCTAGTCCCGTGATTATAAAAAAAAAACCACCCAGAGCTGATCTATTTGCAAAAATGTGGGGAGGTTTATCCCCCATTGATCCACTGCCATGAGAATTATTAGTATGCAATTATACAAGCATATTCGTATAGACTTACTAGTATGCAATTGTGGTTTTTTCAACAGAGCATTGGACATATTTGACACGAGAATGCAGTTGCATTGCTTATTATTATATTTTATGTCCTGCTTAAATGATGTCAAATTGGCTTCTGAGCCACGTACAAGTATAAAAACCAATGGCATAAACATCCAAATATAAAGACCCATGATAAAAATGCACAATAAAGCAATTGCCTGAGAACATTAACATATAAACATGCATTATTAGGATATGCAAAAAAAAAAAAAAAGCAGCAATCCCATCAAAAGGAAGCAGCAGTTATAACAGAAGACTAGGACCTGAGTTTTCCACAATTCATGGTCTTGACCAGATGGACTAATCTCAACACCCTTTCGGGCTTTATGGACAGCATCACATGAGAAGAAGCGTGGTGCAGTGGCCAGAGTGTGGACTAAGGCTGCGGAGACCCGAGTTCAAAGCCCTGTGAAGTTCACTGAACAAAGAATGCCTCAGTATGTATCTGTTTTTTCCCCTCAGAGAAATGGGCAAGAATCAACCCTTTCAATACAACAAAATCGTCTCACTAAGCAAAAGCTCCAGCCAGGAATGGTGGATCGGAATTAAGCAGCAGAACTAAAACCCCATCCCTTGTGCCTCCTGCAATGGAAGGCTTAAAACTGGTGGTTATGTCCAACATTTTTCCATGGCACCATCTCCAGGCTGGTGCAGAACAGGGGTTAGGATCCTGGCTCTCCACGGGACATGGTCCAGCTTTGGATAGGGTTGCCATATTTCAAGATGTAAAATTCTTGACATCCACAAAGTTGTTGTTGAGGGGGGTTTTTTTGGTGTGTGTTTTTTTTAAGGAAACCACCCAAATTGTTGATAAAATAGTGGTTTTAAGCTTTTGGAGCTGTTTCTGCTGTTTTCTTCCATCACGTTGCCATACATCTGGGTTTTCCCTGACATTTTTTTTTTTTTTTTAATGATACGATAATCTTTATTGTCATTGTCCCATACAGAACAACGAAACTGAAAAAATCTACATCAGACATTCAAAAACCAACAAGCCTGCTATCCCAGCTATCCCAGCCTGGGTAACCCCCTAAAAACTCTGATACCCCATAATTAAATACAATATACTACCATAGAGACTACCTTACACTGCATTTAAAACCAAAATTGCATTTGGATAGAAATTGTTTCTCAGGCGGCTAGTCCTAGTCTTTATAACCCTGTACCTTCTCCCAGAAGGCAGAAGCTGAAAGAGATCATTTCTGGGGTGCGCACTATCTTGCACTATCTCTGCAGCTTTCATATGACAAAATCCACACACACACCCCATGCCATTTTTGCACCAGAAAAACAGGACATGTCAGGAATTTTCCTGATGTATGGCAAGCCTAGCTTGGGATCCAGCAGATTTGTGCTGGACCTGCTCTCCCTCCCCAGTGCTCCTCTGAGAGCTGCCAATGGAGATAGCACACACTCCCCTGTACTTTCAGCGATTGTAGGGTTGCCATATCTTGAAGAGCAGAAAAAGAGGACAGCCTGAGCCACTGCCAGCCTGAGCCCGGGAAAGAAGGGCACAGGTATGCGGGGCCACCGGCTTGGACTGGCAGCAGCTGCGGTGCGCGGAGCTGCCTGTGCCCCTTGCCCCCTCCCAAACCCTAGACATTTCCTTTAAAATGTGGAAACCCCCCTGGATTGGCATTTTGGCCCCCCAAAAGAGGACATATGGCAACAGGAGCCCTGCATAAGAGGAGCCTGGCCCATGCGTGGAGAGATACTTCCAGCTCATCCTCGCCCCTTCCAGCAGTGTGGACCAGTGGTTAGGGTTGCTCTGCTCAGTCCTGGGAATTACATACTAGATCAATAATCACAAGAGTTATGGTTCTATGCACAATTTTTTCTGAAAAGGGAGATTTTTCAAAAAAGCAAGTTTGGCCCAATGGAGAAGCAAAATTAAATAGGTACATTGCGTATGTTTGTGTGGCTGATAATTTTGCAAAGATACGAATTTCTTCATTTGGTAAGGCTAGAATTTCACTAAAGAAAACGAAACAGGAGGCACACTCCTTATTCCAGAATGTCACACATGCATTCAAATGCTTAAAAAAAAATTAAATGCTTAGTTTGAAATATAATTTAGGTCACATTTTTTAAAAAAATGATTTTTTAAAAAAATGCATAATTTTAAGGGAAAGCAAGACAGGGAACATATTAAAATATTTATTCCCAACAATCATGAAGTGCCTCATCTTGCAAAGCAAATCAGAAATGGTGTTTCTTGACTGGATAATCCAGAGTTAGGCATTTAGTTTGCAATCCTCCAAATGCTTAACTGGCCGTAAGTCTCACTGAATTCAATGGGACTTACCTCTGGGTAGATATGGCTAGGTTTCCACCAAGGTAAAGTTTCATTTGGAGTTTTAAATTTTAAAAGGCTTATGTCTCATAAATCGCTGGATGAGACTGTGCTCTGCCCACTACGTCCCTGCCCGGCTTTCAAATGTGGGGCCAATTCCGTTTAAAGAAAAGTCCCAACAATATGTCACACCCCAAATGTCTAAGTCTTTTGTTTTGTTTTTAAAGCCACTCCTAATCTGGTTTGGAGCATTCATCTTTTGTCACTTGGGAGTTAAGAGAGATCCACACGGGCTGTAAACAAGGCAAACGACGTTCTGCCTTAACCACAAAATTAGAACCCATCTCAACTTTCTTTAAAAAATAATAATAATAAAGTAACAACAACCTCTGGACTGTTTCCTGAATCGGAGAAGCTCTTAATATCGCAAAGAATCCATCTCAAACTTCTGAAACATTTGTCGCTACCAGAAGTGCCAGCAATTTTTTATGAGCCTGATGTTTTCTCGTCTTTACTGCAGCCTCCTCTGCCAGGAAATCTTTCCAGCTTCGGCTCATGTTAGCAGAGGCCCAGGGACCGTGCCAAAAATTAACTCAAAGTGTATCCTCCCCTCTGTTCAAGGAAGGTTCATTAGCGGCCAATTACACTATACAAGGGACTTGCTATCATATAAAGCTATGTCAACGATCCAAGCCGGCAGATTTTGTGAAGGCTTTTCTCGGCATTTCCCCAGGAAGGGGGAGACACGCCCGCAAGAGGAACACTCAGTAGCACTTAATAAACTTGGTCATCTGAGCAAAATGTAGCCAAAATATAGTGTGCACGCACTCACACACCCTTGCGAATTGCGTGCCCTTGAAAAAGTTCGCAGCTGGGAAAAGGGGCATGCGCATAACGGCCTTATATTCTCATACCAGGGATCACTGCCCACGCTCAGCCTGTCCTAGGATTTTATTTATTCTGCAACAGCCAGTTATTCTGCAACAGCCAGTCCTCAGGCCTATATACTAGTAGGGAACACATTCTCTGGATTCCGATCTGTGCATAGTTAAAACAGCATCATCCGCACACGAGTGGGAAGATCCTGGCATACTTGTGAGACACACAATACATTTTCAGAAGTATGGAATTTCTTTGGGAGGGGGAAATCCTAAAGGAAGGGGAGGACGAAACAGCTCAATTATTGCTGAGCATGTTTGGTGAAGTCAGAATGCTGAACGGTTGTTGCAGGGAGGGGGCAATGGAACACTGGGGAGGGGAAATGGAATGGAGTATTCTGGAAATGTGCATGGCTGGCTGAAAACTTGATGCCAGGCTGCAATGTTGCACAAGATCATGTTTCATTTTATTTTCCTTTTGGAGATAGATAGATAGATGATAGATAGATAGATAGATAGATAGATAGATAGATAGATAGACAGACAGATAGTCTTAGATCCTCATAAAAGGAAATATGATAATAATAATAATAATAATAATAATAATAATAATAATTTGTCATTTTACTCACAAGAATAACTAAAAGCAATTTACAAATACAACGGAAATGTCAAAATCAATTACAATAAATGTAATCAGTAAAACACTTACAAGCACAAATGTGTACAAACAAAAGGCAAGTCTACTGTTCCATCAAAAGAGGCCACGAATATTTGAAACCCTTTGAACTAAGGGCCAAAAACCTGTGTGAAAACAAAAGTTTTTGCCTGGTGCCCCAAATGAGACAAAGGTGGTGCCAGGCAAGCCTCCCTGGGGCCGGGCATTGTAGAAGCTGGGAGCCACAACTGAAAAGGCCTGTTCCCATGTTACCAGGCCTCCAATAGAGGGAGGGCACACCGAGAAGGGCCAGGTCAGTTCATATGGAAGGGAAGTTCATGGAAGGAAAGCTTCCTGTTCCCCTCCTCTCTGAACCAGCCCCCATTGTTCAGGAGAGACCTTCAACTGTTCAAAGAGGCATTTTGGGGTGTGGAGGGTACAGATGGTCCCAGAGGGTGTGAAACTTTCATTGGCTTCCTTATCTTATCCCAAGGATCTAAGGCGTTATCACTCACGCATCCAACAATGATTTAAATAAATGAAGGACTGCATCCAGCATTAGTCCAACGCTGAAATTAATGGACGTGATTGAGGTCCATTAATTTAAATGGGTCTGCTTCAAGCAGAACTTAGTTTGATACAATCCAGGGACTTCTTGGCTGAACAGGGATAACAGAACTGCATGGGGTTATTTAAAGCTTTCATTTCCCCTTCCTTTTACATTTTTCAAAGAACAGAACAGAAATAGCTTGGGTGTGGAAGGGAAGACACTGAAAATGAGAAATCATCAATATGCATATTCCTTTAGCTACTGTACAGCCTTTTGTCCAAATTGCGCACAAAACTATGTCAGCAGTGTTGAATATCAGAATGACTGGAATGCATATTTTACAGCTTATTATTATTATTTTTTAAAAAATGCTATGTTCTTTTATCTAGTTTCCACTGTATTTTCTTGATGGGTACATTTTCTGGTTCTTTTAAACCGTCTTTATTAACTTTCCCAGAAGAATCTTATATATTTCTGCTGCTTAATGCTCACTAGCCAGCCAGAAATCACAAGTGTTTGACTTTCTTTTCTTTTTTTGAGAGATTCAGCAAATATTTGGCATCTTTCAAGTATCGTTTTTCAACAGAGGAGCACGGGGGAGGCAGAACCATCATCTCAACCACACAGATTTAATCCAGAAGGCCATCTCTATTAGAGGCTGCAGAACCAACTTTCAACAACAGAGGGCACCTTTATACAGTAGTTATGTTGCATTTCAAATGACTATACTTAAAAGATACATGATAATCAAAACATGTTCTGGACCATCAACGAAGCCCTTTTTAAAAATCCTGTTTTTAAAACTCCCTCTCTGATTATAATATGAATATGCTATATGTTCTACTGTTAGGAAGATTTTTTAGAGTTGATTTTTTAAAGAAAAGTTGGCTTAAAATAAAAACCTGGCGATGAAGAATTAAACACTGATTTTAAGGGCAGGGGAAAGATATTTACATGCATATTCAATTCTGGATAACTTACTTTCCTTTTTCTTGATCTTACAAAGAAAACGCCATCTTTAAATCAAACATGCAGAATAAAGGGCATAAAATATCCTACCCAAATACCAGCCCTAATTGGTGCACCTTCCTGGAACAAATCTGTGTCTCCACTTGCGATTCTAAAGCAACAACTATTGTGACTTTCCAATACTGCCACATCTGGCTGTTCAGGACTCCCCAAGTCAGGATTTGATGGATACCATTCTCACTGAAAGTTTGTTCACTGTTTTCTCGGCCTTTCCCCTTGATACCTCGAAATTATGATGATATGGAAAATCATTATCATCATTATTTTTTAAACAGAGGGCATTTGAATGCAACGCCTCATCTAACCATGACTATGTAGTTCAAGCCAATCTAATTTCCTTTACAGCTCCTGCATTCACTTTCCTTGGCTGGAGAATTGCATCGCAGAATTCGGAAGATTGCAATTTTCAAAGAGCCGCTGTGTTTCAGTTTGCGTAGTGTTTTGCCTCACACAAATCACACAGATTTGGAAGATTTGCCCTAAAATATAAAGTGAATCAATTCTCTCCCCATCCCTAATTAAGAGGCATGTGCATACACACGTGTGTGAGCCCGCACACAAACACACAACTCCTCCATCCCTCATACTACATGCATGTTAGCCCTTCTCACCCACCAGCTAAGCCCAACTGCCTCATTGAATCATGTCCTGTGTAATTCTTTTTGTCGCATTTGTATGTGGACTACCAACATGGCTTATTCTGAAGAATGGGTTTCCTGAAAACCCAGAATGAACCAATGGTGGTCTTCCGGTATGCTGCTCTACAAAACCTTCAGCCCCCATGACTGTTTGCATTGGATTGGATGGGACAATGTACACACACGGAGGGCTTTTCTAAAGAGAAGTGTTCAGAATAACCTTCATTCATGAGGAGTTTGTACAGGTGTGAAAATGACAGTCATTCCATCACATCAAATGCCCGGACAAGTTCTATTTGAGAAGAGCGGAGACTTTCCCCCTTTCCTTGTCAGCTTGAACACAGAAACCATTTGAAAGAGAAAAATGAGGGGTGGGTGGGATTCCTAAACTATACAGTGGTACCTCAGGTTAAAAGCTTAATTCATTGCAGAGGTCCGTTCTTAACCTGAAACTGTTCTTAACCTGAAGTACCACTTTAGCTAATGGGGCCTCCTGCCGCCGCCACACAATTTCTGTTCTTATCCTGAAGCAAAGTTCTTAACCTGAGGTACTATTTCTGGGTTAGCGGAGTCTGTAACCTGAAGCGTCTGTAACCTGAAGCATATGTAACCCGAGTTACCCCTCTAGTTCTTGTGCGATAGGGGACTAATAATTGCTGAAAAAAATGAAAAATAAACCCCATGGATCATATCTAAATTCACTTTGAAATGCTGTTCTGTAGATGTAAATGAAAAGCAGGCCTGTAGACAGTCCTATAGCTGGTTTCATGGAAGTAACTCAATGGACATACTTCTGAGTAGACAAACATAAGATTGCCCTGTTCAGCTCAGTGCTCCTCCAAATTATAGAAAGTTCTCTTCCCATGCAAAAAAGGCTCCTCCTCTTCTGTCTAATTCACAATACAAATTTAAAATATATTGATGGTTTTAGTGGGTGTGTGGTTGAACCTTCCTACTTGCTGTGAGCTGGCTGAAGGTGACATGCCACTAAACATTTTTTTCCAGCACTCTGCATCCTCCCTACACTTCCCGATCTGAAAGGGGCCAACTGGAGAAGCTGCCTCACCAAACCAACTCTGCCGTAGCCTGGAGCTGAGTGTGTGCAGTGCAGCTAACATGGGACAAAGTGGGATTGCAATAGTGGGCAGCCAGCGGATGCCCCATCAACCTTGGTGCCTGCCTAGGAAAGCAAGCCTAGAAAGGGAGACTAAAGTTCTGTCAGCAGGTTATAGGAACCTCATAATCTCTTTGTTGTAAGATTTCAGGGATGGTATGTGAGTTTGTTTGGGTCTTTGGAAGAGTCAGGAGGCTGAGAGATGTCAAGTGGAAGAAGGAATATATGTCAGCATTTATTTCTTAGTAATTTGCATTCCGCGTATTATCGTGTTTGTTTGTAATATTTGTTGTGGTGGTGGTTTATATATATAGAAATGGTCTAAATATATAAACAAGATTAATAATTTCCCTGGTTTTTAACTGAGGAATGGGAAGCCAGGGAGTCTGGTTTAACCAGTGCCTGAGATTGGCCTTTTATCTTAAAATAAAGTTGTTGGGTTTTTGTTTTTGTTTAAAAAAGGCTTAACAAATAAACAATAAGCCGTTGTCAAGAGTATGACACTTGGTGAGACCAATGACAGACCCTATTTTCCAGGGATGTTCCTGATTTAGAGAAACCATCCCACTTTCTGATTTGATCCTGAAAGGTCCCGCTTTTCTTTAGGATGTTCCCATTTTCATTGTTGGAGGGTATAGAGTTATTCACCCCCCCGAGCCACCTGAAGGCAATCCTGTATAGGGAAGTTTTTTAAAAATGTCTAATGTTTTATTACGTTTTCATATATGTTGAAGGCTGCCCAGATTGTCTGGGGAAACCCAAGAATATGTGGGGGGCATGAATAGCAAAATTATCATTATGGAATAAAGGTAAAGGTAAAGGGACCCCTGACCATTAGGTCCAGTCGTGACCGACTCTGGGGTTGCGTCGCTCATCTCGCTTTATTGGCCGAGGGAGCCAGCATACAGCTTCCGGGTCATGTGGCCAGCATGACTAAGCCGCTTCTGGCAAACCAGAGCAGCGCACGGAAACACCGTTTACCTTCCCGCCAGAGCAGTACCTATTTATCTACTTGCACTTTGACGTGCTTTCAAACTGCTAGGTTGGCAGGAGCAGGGACCAAGCAACGGGAGCTCACCCTGTTGTGGGGATTCGAACCGCCGACCTTGTGATCGGCAAGTCCTAGGCTCTGTGGTTTAACCAACAGTGCCACCCACGTCCCCATTATGGAATGGGACGTCTCTATTTTCATCACAGAAATGTTGGAGGGTATGCAATGAATTATAGATCTGTAAACCTTTGGCTTCTGGCCCCACTCACCACTGGTATGTGGCCTCTGGAAAGTTGCCCATGAGGGAATGTGGCCCTCAGGCTACAAAAGGTTCTCCTCCCCAGATGGACAAGCTCCTCCAGTGATGGGAGAAACATCTATTGCTAAGTAGGTACTACAAAAAGGCCCACTTCAAGCTTCAGACCTGGCAACTCCACCTCTCTGAAGACATCCAGGAACCAGTTCCTGAAGTCTTTCTCTTTGGTGCATTTGTGTTTCTGCATGGTTTTGTTTTGTTTTTTCCCTCAAAGGGAAAAGGAAACTCCAGAGACCACCAAGTGCATTACTATTCTTCTGGTTCCCGAGGTGAGATCATGGCTTGGTATCACATGCAGGCAGCTCATTAGCTGTCTCCTGGAATTGTTTCTTTGCCCAAGCCAGTTCCTTGCTATTATTATCCTCAACTGAAGGCAGGAGATTTCAGCTGGTTCCCTTGTTTGCCTAGTGATTTTTGGGGACACACACACACACACACACACACACACACACACACCTCTCTCTTTCTTCTTGCTTGCTTGCCTGGGAGCCAGATGCTATTTCCCTTTCACCTAATCTATTCCTCTCACATCTCCCAATACTCAGAACATAGGAAACTGCTCAACAGTGAGTCAGACCATTGCTCCGTCTAGCTCAGTCTTGTCTGCAATCCTATGAACCACCAGATATTCTTGGATTACAACTCCCGTTCTCCCTGAACACTGGGCACCCTGGCTGGGGCTGATGGGAGTTCAACAACATTGTGGAAGGGGGAGTACCAGGCTCTCCAAGCCTAGTTTAAGTTCATTGGGGGTGGATGTTCAGCCTCTGTTTGAAGACCTCAAGCAAGGGAGAACCCACCACCCCTCTAGGGGATGCACAAACTGTTGTCAAACTGCCCTCGGCATCAAGACGTTTTTCCTGAATGTTCAGTGAAAACCTGTCCTCCTCAAGCTTAAGCCCATAAAATACAGTCTTGCATTTTCCATCGGCTCTGCCCTCTTCTATCTGGCAGCTCTTCAGGAATTTGATGAGTACACTCATATCCTCCCCAGGTCTTCTCCTCGTCAGGCATAGCTAGGGTTGGAGGATAAATTCATCCGGTCCACTTTTTACAGCAGAACGATCTGAATAATCAATCTTGGTCTTAACCTGCTGGTTTTGAATGGAACTGTCAATCAGATTATGCACACCTCCAGATTTTACAGTGAAGTTTCAGTCCCCCTCGAAATTGCACACATTAAAATGTGCAGTTTGGTACTTTTCTTTTTAATGTACAAAAAAAATGCACATTTTAGGGTAAACTGCACTTGAGAAAGAGACAAAGATGCACGTTTTAGGAGGGATATGTACAAAATGAACACACAATGTGTCCAGTTTTAAACATAAAAATTGTCATGGGGGTGTCGGTGAACAGATACCTAATCTTTATTTGCTAAACAACATCTACAGACACTTGCAACAGGTCCTCAGTCTATTTCAGCCGATTTCTGCATCAAATTTATATATTAAAAATTCCATTTTGATACACATTACATTCTATAACCACACATTTGCAAGCAATTTCTGTAGGTTATTTTCAGACTATATCTGTGTGTCTAATGCCTGCTCCCCCTTCTTAAAGTTCTTTAACTTTAAACCAAATAGACACCTCCTTCAAATAGAGGACACCTAAGTCACCCTTGCTGAAGCGTTTTCTGAGCTTGCCACACAACCCAGGGCTAATTTATCTCAGGGAGTCGCTGTCAAAAGGAGATGCAAAAGGGATATACAAAAAGAGGAGACACAGTTTATTGGATATTAGTGCTCTAAATGTTTTTGTTGTTGGAGATCTGTTCCATTTAAGCACATGGATAAGACAGACACCTTTTAAAGGAGTATTTGAACTCTTCTGGGGAGGAAAGAAAACGTATGGCTTTATTTTATTTTTCCAGCATCAAGAACTTGAAAGCTTGGCTGTGAGGTTCTTTGGATAACCTTGGCTCTGAATGAAAGCTTGCTCTTATTTTTAAAAGCTCGCTCTGTTTTAAGCAGAAACACCCTCCCCACCCCCACCCCAAAGTAAGGGATTCCCTCCTCCTGAGTCGTTCAGCACAGACAGTGATACAGAGAGGGCAGGCTGCCCTCTGAAGTGGGAGAAAGAAACTCAGCCGTGAATCTGGGCATTCATGCTCACTTTGGGTGGACAGGGTTGAAAGCACAGAGCCACCCAATGTTGTCTTCTCCCGCAAAAGGGCTCCCCCACTTATTCTCTCTCTCTCTGAAGCAGCGTCCGCTAACCTCCAGTGAGAAAACTACCTTGCAGACTCCCATCCCTTAACCACAGCTGCAGGCCTAAAACACTGCCAGCCTTTATTCTGCCACGCATCCCGTGGCCTCCTGTCCTCTGAACATCCTGTTCACTCAGAGCTTTGATCCAGCCACATTTGCCAACACACCCCAATCCACACAACCACCCTGCTCAAACAAACCCTGCTCCATGCTCCTCAAGGGAGCCCAAACTCAGAGATATGTCAGTATCTCCGGGGACAATTGGAAGCTTTTGCACAGTGATTCCAAGTGCTCAGGGGGTTTCACATACAGAAACTCGGTGGTTCTTACTACATCTGGGCAAGGCGAATCAGTATTATGTCCTTAAGTTAGGTGGGGGATGAGGAGACGGGAGAGAAGAGGTCTGGAGGGTGGCAACACGAGAACGGGCCTTTTCTGTAGTGGCCCCCCATTTGTGAAATGCTCCCCACAGGGAGGTTCAACTGGCGCCTTCATTATATATTTTTAGGCTCCAGGCGAAAATGTTCTTCTTCAATCAAGCCTTTGGCTGATTAATATCCTACAGCTTTTAAAACGTGTCTGTGGAAAGTGTGTGTGTGTATTGTTTTGTGGTTTGATTATTTACTTGTGTTTTATCTTGTATTTTATTCTGGGAACCACCCTAAGATCTTTTCATGAAGGGTGGTATATAAATTAAACAAACAAACAAACAAACAAACAAACAAAGAGAACATTTTTGGTCAGACGAAAGGAACTACGTACTTCTTCACACATCCTGTAGTTAACGTGTGGAATTTGTGACCACAATATAAAGTGACAGCTGCCAATCTGGATGGCTTTCAGAAGAGACTGGAAAAATAGAATATCAGTGGCTACTAGTCATGATGGCTATATACTACTTGCTAGGGAGCAATAGTGGAGAGACTGCTTCCATGTCCTGCTTGGTGGCTTCCCATGGCCATCAACTTGGCCCCTGTGTGAACAGGATGCTGGACTAGATGAGCCACTGGCCTGATCCAGCTGCAGGTCTCTGCTTATGTTCTTCTGACTTCCCAGAAGCTACCTGATGTTGAAAGCCCTGAGCTGGATTCAGTGGTCTTATCCAGCAAAGCAATTGGGAAACATGTGGGCAGCGAATTCAAAGTTCTTAGAATCATTTTCCATCTGCTGAATGGACACAGCCAGGCCTCTAATGGCTTGTGCAATGAAAATACACAGGTGATCCATCGTAATTGTGGGATTTCCCTTACTCATTCGATGGAGTCTTGAACCACTACTACAATCTATGAGTTTTCCATAATGGCTTTTAAGCTTTGTATTTCAGGCTGTTTATGACACACTTGTGCTTGCCTTAGAGATTTGTTTTAATGCTGTTGGTGTTATTTAGAGAGGGATTAAATTCAAACAGCTTTATGGGTGCTAATAAATGTCTCTTATTATTACAGGCATTTTGATATAAAAACCTCATACAGGTACTTTCCCTGTGAACTATGCAGATTTGATTGATTAGGCCGTGTGTGCAACACAGTGGTTTATTTTACACTTCAGTGGGCATTAAATCTTTCGTTAAGATTAAAACTGTACTTCCTACAAGAAAGAAATCACTTTGCAGTTATTGGAAGGGAAAGTTGTTTCACCCAAGATCCAATGGAAAGGGGAGAAAAACTCAGGACAAAAAAAGAAGGAGGAGGAAACTGAGATAGTGGTTTTCACTTATGTTATTCAAGAGCTTTTGTCAATGGTTATTAGATTGTGTCTGTCATCCCTAATCTCTAGCCTGGAATAAACTCGCATAACATCATTGGCAACTCCAGTTAAAGAGGATCAGGTAGCAGGTCTGCTTGAGATTCTGGAGAGCTGCTGTCAGTCAGAGCAGACAGTGCTGGTCTAGATGGACAAATGATCTGACCTGGTGTAAGGAAGTGTCCTGCGATCCTCTATAGCCTATGCTTTGTATTTAAGCATTTGCAGGTTCCGTTCCCAACATTGCCATCCAAAAGATTTCAAGAATAGAACCACAGCGTTTTAGAACTGTAGAGTTTGAAAGGACCATGAGGGTTATCTGGTCCAACCCCCTGCAATGCAGGAATCTTTTGCCCAATGTAGAGCTCAAACTCACAACCCTGAGATGAAGATTCTCATGCTCTACCGACTGAGCTGTCTACCAGTGCCCCCACCAACCTCAGTTATTATTTTTATGTATTACAGAACCAAAAGATCAACAGCCACTCCCACCCATAAGATGGAGTTCGTATAATATAGTAAAGTCATGGTCCACCTCAAAATCTCAGTCTCAGTTATCCACAAAAGGAGAAGCAAATCATGCCAAAAGTAGACAAAAGACTTTGCTTCTTTACTCATATCCAGTCCAGGGTGTGGCCCTCCAGAAGCCTCCACCTTAAGTCTGGGTCTTGCCCTTGTAGAACTCAGCAGGCAGGAGCGTGAGGCCAGGATTATTTGGCTCTGGTTGTCAATGGCTCTGGCTCCACCTACTGTGGGGCTCACTGTTTTCTGGCCCACCAGTCCCAATGGACAACAGTCACCAACAATACCAATACTGGCAACAGTGGTGCTTTCTCAAGCAGATCAGGAGGCTCATTCCTATATAGACGTCACCTGACATCTGCTGATGCTAATGGGGCTGTGCTGAAGAGACCATCACAATAATGTCCTTCCAGAAGGTTGTCATTGTTGGCACTGAAATACTTCCTAGATGTAGGCTGAAACCAGAATAGAACCTAGTAAAACAGGACTATGAAACCTTTGGCCCTTCAGATGTTGCTGAGCTACAACTCCTATCATCCTTGACCACCGGCCAGCCTGCCTGAGGTTGGTAGTAATTGACATCTAACAGCATCTAGGAGTCCACAGGTTCCCTACTCCTGCAGCAGAACCTAATCCAGTGTCTGCCAATTCCTCCTACTAACTGCAGACTCTGTGGCTTCAACACCAGCTAACATTTAATATTCCTGTCCCCTCACATTTGCTCCATACAGAGTTTCCCAAGCTTGGGTCTCCAGCTGCTGTTGGGCTACAACTCCCTCATCTCTGGGTAGCAGGACCAGTGGTCTGGGATGATGGGAATTGTAGTACAAAAACAGCTGCAGACACATGTTTGGGAAACCCTGATTTAGCATGATGGAGGATTCTGTGGAATTCAGATGCACGCTCATTTTGAGTCAGTCCCTATGAAAGCATTGTCCTACGATGGATTTTGGAGCCACCTAAAGCGAAGTTTCTCCTCAGTCAAAATATTTGAGGAATGTCACGTGAAGCCCAAAGAATTTCATCAAGGCTAGCAGACTTCCACAACGTGGTCAAGTCAGGCATTCCTTGAGCTTGGTCACATCTTAAAGCCATTTTATCAGAATTTAAAATACAGCATTTGTGCTTGGGAGTTTTGATTCAGCCAAGGAGTCAGTTAATTACTGTGCTTCTTGCCTAAGCGCCTTGCGGAGCCTTGAAACTGTTCCCACGAGCAAGCCTCTTGGCTCAGGCAGAATGGACAGGCCGGCCGGCCTGCCTCGCAGCCTTCAGACAGGCCACCACCAGGGAACACATTGATGAATGGCCGGTTTATAAGGCTGTCATGCCACTTTTGCCCTCTGGGAAATGCGGGAGTCTCTCAAAACAGCTTATTACCAACCTGTGGCCAAGGCAATGATCAATCACGCTGATCAGATATGGCAAACATAGCAACTGATACAAAGAAGATGCCCGGCTGCTTTGGCTTGAGGTTAACATGACAAATGATAGCGGGGAGCAAGAATAACTAAAGTGTGTGCGTTTGGGAGGGGGGCTGGAGGGAGGTCAGGCTGGAGTGGAGCCCAACTGGCAAACCATTGTAGAGCAATGACACCACGAGTTAACAGCAACGCCTCAGCCCCCAGCCCCCAGCCCCCATGCACAAATATTTCTTGCTTTGTTTCTATCAAAACAACCTACAAAGTATTCACTACAATTCATGAGGTGTGCAAGGGTTTTCTTTTTAAAAAAACACCACCACCAAAACAAAACAAAACCCGTGGGTAGCCCTTGGACCTTGGCTTCATATGTGCATTTTGGAGATGACATAGTTTCATTGCTGAACTTGATAACCTCCCCACCACCCAGGGCCACCACCATTGCTGACCAACAATTCCAACTAATCCAAGTGAGCTGAGTGAATTTGCACGCTCTTGCTTCTGGAAAACATGTAAGGAATCTCCAGAGAGTTTTAACAAAGGTGGGGCCAGAACCAGAGATGAGGAAAGGGAACGATTAATCTGTCATTTTTTGTTTCTCTCAGCTTCTCATTTTCCCAGCCCTAAATTCAGTTCTCCACATCAGGTTGCTCTTCTTCTTTTTAAGCCTGCATGGAAAATTCATCAGCCTTTCAGTGCAAATTTCTCCTAATATAGACAATTTCACATTCAGTTTTGCCTAATATGCTTTTTTAAACAATTTCCCCCTCACATTAACTCGTTTTGTTTCTTGTTTCCACTAACATATGCATTTTCATGCAAATTTCCCCCCCTCATTTATGCATTGCTGTACACAGTATTTGGGTTGGAGAAAGGCACTGCAAAATTCAGAGAAGTGTGAATTTCAAAGGACGGCTGGGCTGCAAGCCTTACTATATACATACACACTTGATTTTCTTTGTAGGCCACATTTCCACAGTTCAAGGTGGCTTACAAAATAAAAAAAAAAACATAACTACAACATAACAAAAGTAGTCACAAAAAATAAATAAAGCATTAAAAATACACAACCAAACCGAATCATTTCCACATAAATCACAAGATCTAAAATAAAAATGAGGGGCAGCAATAACCGCCCCTCGCAATAAAACCCCAAATGCCCAAATCCAAGTCTGTCCAGAATCCTCAGCTTTTGTAGCTGGAGTCAGTCAGGGCCCTACCTTCCCAGGCCAGGTGGGAAAAGGCCTGCAAGGCAGGGAGCAGTTGTTCCAGGACTCACCGAGGTCGTTCCACAACATCACAATACATGAAGGCAGTCCTGTTTAGGGAAGTTTTTAATGACTGATGTTTTAATGTATTTTTAATCTTTTGTTGGAAGCCGCCCAGAGTGGCTGGGTAAACCCAGCCAGATGGGCAGGGTATAAATTATTATTATTATTATTAGCTACCTTAGACCAAGTCAGGCCATTTTGCTCAGTGCTATTTACGTTGCCTGGCAGTTGCAGTAGAGGGTGCAGAATAGCAAAAGAAAAAAACACCACCTTCCCAGTGGCAGGGCAGGGTTCCTTAAGCAGATCCTTGGAACTAAGCAGGTCTGGACCTGGCCAGAATATAGACTGAGCAGTGGTTGCAGTGGGGTGGGGTGGAGAGATTTGCACGTAGACTTGCTTTGACTAGGGATGCTGGGCAATTTCATCTGGCCCATATTTTTAAGCCATTTGACTTAATTTGCACATTATATTTGTATACTGCTCTACACCTGCAGACCTCAGACTCCTCCTCCTTGTTTGTTCCATTTTTCACAAAAGTGTCCCAAATAATCGAAACATTAACACCACTTATAAAACCCAAAACAAAGCAAAATCCTAAAAAGCGCAACCCTAACATGTCGCTGAGGTGGAGCTTTCTCTTCACAACCTTCCTGGCCCCTCCCAAAGCATTGAGCCCCACCTCTGGATTGGTCTCCAGTCTCTCATCCCATTCCTCCTCCCACTCTGACCAGCCCTGCCAAGAAGTCTCTATGGGGCTCATGACACCCACTTCCTGGTCCTTTGACATGGAGATGCAAAGAGTTGAACCCAGGGCATTCGACAGGCACAGCAGCTGTCTGTTACCGAGCCAGTGTCCCTCCACTCTGCAATTCGAATTATTCCTTGTACACCAAACAAACCAAGCAAATTCTCTCGCTGAAGTTCTTACGTTGTAAAAATGAAGTCCAAAGCTTGGTTTATCAGCCAATTCACATATTACAAAATTCAGAGGTTGCCAGTCTTTATAGACCCCTGAGTAGATTTGGATTTTTGAATGAGTGCCATGGGTGCTGCCCCATCTGGCACTTCTCTCTCTCTCTCTCTCTCTCTCTCTCTCTCTCTCTCTCCCTCCCTCCCATCCTGTACCCCCAATAGATCAGTCTACCCCCAAGAAACAGAAAGACAGAATATACATATGCACACACAAGTCATATCTAATAAAATTAACCTGAGCCTTGAAAAGTACATAGAGCTGAAAGACGAAGTGGGCAAGAGTGTCACTTTTCCAACTTCCTCCTTCAACCCTATGTTTCCTTCAAGGGAGAAAAAGGTAACTACTTATCATCACTTCATGAATAAGGAGGCAGTAAGTACACGGGTGGGAGGGCTCAGAAGCTTGTGGGCACTAGGGGAAGACCTCAAGTGCACCCTACAAGTGCCACACTGGCCATCTCCACCAACGATAGCAAATCTGAGTTTGCCACCACGTTTACACTTGACAGGGAGCTGAGCCAAACCCAGCTCTCTGCTATATTTAGATGTATTCATTCCGACACATTTCCCATCCTGCCATCCCATTAAGCATTTCCAAGGTGACATGTGAGATTGATAAAAGAAAAATAAAACCAAACAATCCAATACAAAAAGCAAAACAATAGAACAGCAGAGAGCAGTCATAAGAGCAAAGCCATCTGCAGGTGTCAAACAGCGTAGTCTAAAATACAATGTCATCACCTGGTGCCTGAAACTCATAAAGGCAAGTGCCGGGTGAACACCCCTGTGGAGGGCATTCCAGACTGGAACACCTCCACAGTTGCCACATTCTCCAAACATTTTGGACCTTTCCAAATGATAACAAGCTTGTGTGGGAGCACACACTCCTTAACGCACCAACATCCCAAACCCAGATTTGACTCATTCGTACACCACACTCCTAACTGTAGACTTTGGAAGAGGAGGGGATCTTGGGTAACCTAGGACTTCAAGATGCAAACCCAACAGTCCATCTACACTGGATCTCTATGTGGCTTCCTAAATATTTGGGCAATTGTGGTATGGGCCCTGCTAGAATCTCGATTTCCTTGTGATTAATAAGCAGCGGCATTGCTTGTTATGAAACGACAAGGTATTTAAGAGGAGCTCTGCTGAGATGCACTTCACTCGATGTATTTACTAAGTACATCTAAATACACATGTACGTGTGTGCGCGCGCTTGTGTGTGTGTGTGCATTCAAAGTTAAGAGATCTAAATTGTCAAGCTGCAGGTGAGCAGGTATAATGGGCCCAAATTCCAACTCTCAAGGGCGTGGAAAGTGTGGACACCGCAGTGCAACAACGCCAGACAAGCTCTGTCGACCTGCATTGTTGGGTTTTTTCTGGTGCTTTTAAATGGCAGGATCCATTTCACGGAATTGTAAAATCACAGGGCTGAGAAGGAAGCAGAGTCAATTTGCCGGGAGAGTTCTCTGTTTGGACTTCATTGGGAGTGTAATCTCCTGTTTAACAACAGCGGAGGAGCAGGGGGGAGTGATGTCCGTTATCTTCTTTATGCCTGGAGGAGGACACATTCATCACTTTATCATTGGATGTATCTCGGTTGTTAACTCTCCGACACTTGTTAGAGGAGTCTTTTTTGTGCCTGTAGCTAAGAACTGATGCTTTTCTCTTTTCTTTTTTGGTTGAGTGGCTTCATTGGGGGGGGGGAGAGGGAGGGCGAGCTTGTTTGTGAGCAAAATTAACGAGCAAAAGAAGGTCCTCAATGAGACAATAATTTATTACTTCTGGAATTGGCAGGTTTTGACAGTGGAACTCATTGGCTAATATATTTCAATTGAGAAAAAAGGACGGGTGAAGAAGGGTTCTTTTTCTAGAAAGACTGAAAACGTTGTGGGTTGGTTTACTTAACATTCAGAACATGACACTTGGGCACCAAGTCTTATTTTAAATAAAGCCTGAAAACCCCTCAAAAGTTTACATTAAAATTGCATTATTATTATTATTATTATCATCGTCATCACCACCACCACCATCATTATAAATTTAAAAACATGCAAAATTCAATTCTGCAGCTACATGGCACCCCAGAAATGGAAAACAGGAAAGCCAAAATAATTTGCTAATTGGTTGTGTATCTCAACTTGGCTTAGGATCGTGCATGCCATTCAGAGAAACGGATAGATACAATATTGTTTCATATATTTATACCAGGGGAGTCTAAACAGTATCTATATCTGTATCTGTAGCTTTATCTGTATTTATCTATATAGCTATAGCTATATCTCACAATGAACAATGAAACCTAAAATGCCAAATAAAGCAATAACATACCCCTAAAGGACATATTTTACACCTACTCAGAATTTCCCTGCTCCAGAAACCCAAATTAAGTAGCCTCCACTAAACATCCAAAATCACTCATCCCATTGTACATCCACCAACACCCCACCCAATCGCTGCAATATCTCCAATGTCAATATGCAATGGATGGGATGACAAAATAAAACGTAGGTTTGCCATGGGGTGCTGCATCCTTGCTTCAGCGGCAAACATTTCCCCCTTTGCATATGCCAGTGAGGAGCTGTGCACTGGTGCGTGTGTGTGGCGGGTGGGCGGGGGGGGAACGACGCACGCAAAATGTATCAGGGGAAGGAGGAGGAAAAAAGCTCTGCCTAATGGCTACCAGACTTGCAGAGTGTCAGTTCTAGTGTTTTCTACAGATAGATTTTCAACTCTATAATAATCATGCAGCTAAGATACAAGGTTCCTTGTTGGCAGTAACCTACATGACATGACTCAGAAGGCAGGTGTTATTCTAATTAGCTATTGTTGGGTTATCAAAAGTCAGAGCTGATTAAAGCCACTAAGTACAAGCGCAGTATTTTATTTCAAAGAATATTATAAACTCCATGCTGGGACCCTTTCAGTACGGACCTACCTTCCGGAGTCAGCTAAGAGCCCATGCCAGCAGTAATCAAAACTGAAATCTGCATAAACCTTCGGGGTTTTTTAATTCAAGCAGAGTCATTTCATTAGAAATATGTTACTTTATGAAATCTGTTCGCCAGCAAGGGGAGAAAAATGTGACTTCTTAAGAAAAGTGAATGGCATCTCTTTAGTGATTAAACCAAGATTAATGGAGGCTCCCACTGGTGGGCCTAAGTCCATTTTATTGCTAATTCATTTAGGTACTATTTCAGATGTACTTGATGAAAGTCACCTGCTAGGAAGTCATGTTTTGGCAAGTAAGGATAGCCATTATGGTTGAAATCCCAAATAGATTTTTTTTATTATTATTAAAGAAGCTTTGAAAAGTGTCTTGAATTAGGCAGTCTTCTCGGGGATGTATTATTTAATGTACTCAATTAGTTAAAAAAAATAAAACGAGAAAGAGAGGGATATTTGGGTCACTGATGAACAATGCACAAAGCCATTGAGTACATTTCCATCTACCCGCTCCAGGATAAGCGTGGACAACAAGGAGGGGAAAACTGTGGCCCTCCAAGTATTATTGGACACCAGCTCTCATCAGCATCAGCCAGCATGCCCCATGGTCTCAAGGGTTGATGGGAGTTGTAGTCCAGCAACACCTGGAAGGACAGGCTGCTCATTCCTGATGCAGAACACAGGGCGATCCAACATCTGGAAGAACCTTGAGCATCCCTGGTCTACTCTAAGCAAGGAGTCTGTTTTGAGAAACATGGTGCAATAGTTGGGGGAAATGGATCCTACTTTCCCCGTAAGGTATTGGAGACAGTGGCATATGGCTAGGGGTGTGAATTTTTGACATAAATATAGTGGGCTAAGTGCTGGTGGCAGTGCAGAACTGGTGTAATGCAGACAGAATCTGAAACGCATTGGTTCTCTGGAGCCCAGTAATAGTTACCTAACAGAATTGGAGAGCTGATCTTTGCAAATTATGAGATGAACTAACCTTATTTGCACCTCTTGAATGGATGTGTGGATCGGAACTTAAGTTATCCATGGGCTTCTGCACTTTCCAAATGTTCCAAAGTAGCTCTTTGCTCAAAAGGCATTAAATGGCAATTTTAAAAGGGCATATATTTGAGAGAAAATGCACATAGAAATACACATTCTCAGAGAAAAGAACGTTTTGAAGTATGTTTCTAGAAGTGTACCGTTTGTGTTTGCAAATTTTATTCATTTTGCACGTTCATACAGAAACAGGATTGAAGAGATTTATGGTGAACTAATGCAAAAGTGACACAGGCACATGGTCTGATTTCCCAATCCCACACAGGTCTTTTTTTTAAAAAAAAAAAAACCAGTTACCCCAATCTAATTCATGGCTAGCTGGCCACCTCAAAGTTCAGCCAGCAGTCTTTATTCAAAGCCCATCTAGGTGTCCTGATGCTGAAATCTTGAGATCCAGGGAGTGGAGCTAAAGAACCAAAGTTTTGGCAGATCAGGAAATGGTAGTGGAAATTGCCAGCGTGTTTCATGTGTCCCTTGTCCATAATGAAAATAAACCAGTTTTTGCTGTAGTTTTTAGTCTTGCAAACAAAACATAATTGATGACAGGCTTCCCACCCCACCTTGTTTGCATTGTGTATCCTTTGCATTGAAATAAATGGTGTGGCATAATGTAATCAATTGTGTAAAATCCCACCACAGTTGCACAAATAATAACGTTTTTATTGGAGGCCGAAATGCAGCAGTACGGAAACAGTGCTGCTTGCCAAAAACACAAGCAAGAGCAGAAATCATTGCCTACTGGTAAGGGAAAGATGGCAATCAGCAGTTGGGTAAGAGCTCAAGTGTACCATTTGCCTCCCGGTAGAGCCTGATTGATTGACTCACGGAGCATATTTATTTTTTATTAACCACATTTATTGTACACTTTTCACCATGAAGCTCAAGATAATATACATGGTTCTTCTTCCCCACATTTTATTCTCACAACACCCCGGGGATTGAACCTGCATGCAAACGTGTTCTGCCACTGAGCTATGGATGCACCTGACAAATAATAACAATATTGAATTTGCATGCTGTTCTTTAGTGTAGGCTCTCAAAGCAGCTAATAGATCATAAAACCAAAACCAAAACACACCGACAAAAAGTTAGAAGGAGACTTAAATATTTACTTTAGCTAGAAACATCAGCCTTAAGACACATACCCCAAGTTGCATCAAGGTTTTGCGGCAAAACACCCCAAAAACAGAATGTGTATCATTTTCCCCCCCAAATGCCTATATTCCAATTTCAAGGATTGCTCTTAAAACTAAACATTCTTGCTGATATAGTTTTCCTTAGAACTTATTAACTACTATAACTAGAAGTGGAAAACAAACAAACATCGAAATCCTATATACCTGCAAGTGAATTCACAACATGAAGTTTAACTTCAGAACTGTTTTCTTCTTCCACATTTAATTTATTATTTCTGTTTTAGACCACTTACTAGCAGATAAAATAAAGTCCAGAGTGATTTACAAAAAATATAGGAAAATATAGGAAAGCACAAAATGAAAGCCAAGTCATTTAAGCCAGTGTTTTTCAACTGGGGGCCATATGGCCCCAGGATATTCCAAGGGGGCCACAGGTGAAAATCGTATAAATGAGGGGCCATGACACAAAATTTGGGGGCCACAGAAGGAAGTGAGAAATGACGAAAACAGAGAAGTGACCAAGAAAAGAAAACAGAAAAGAAGAAAGAAAACAGAGAAGTGAAGAAAATAGAAAACAGAATAGTAGAGTGAACAGAGAAGTGACCGTGCCTCTGAGTGGATTTATAAAAAAATATAAATAAAAAATTATAAATAAAAAATAAATAAAACATGTCCTATCTGCAAGCAATTTAAATAGCTACATTTCTACTGGTAGGGCAGGTGGGGCCACAAGAAGGAAACAAAGTTGGAAGGGGGCCATGGTCAGAAAAAGGTTGAGAAACACTGATTTAAGCCATAATAATCAAGATTCCACATGAGTCTTTTACAGAGGTTGGCTAGGAAAATGCGATGCTGCTGAGAAACAAAGCGTCAAAGGACATCGACACAAACTACTTTCTCCCTCCCGGGAATAGAGAACAGATATGATTTGGTTCACACTTAAAAGCGATTTGAGCTGATTCACACTTTCCAAAACAGTATGTGAACTGAAGCACAATCGCCCTTTGGAATTCACACTCCTCAAAATTTTGCAATGCAGTTCTCTAAACAAATAACGTGTTCACTGTGTAAAGTGTGCATCTATCTATCTATCTAAGCAAAGATATCATATAAAAATGCATTATGTTAGGGAAAACTGCATACACACACAAAAATGTGCGATATGCACGAAAATGCTGACAGATTTTCCAGAGGTGAACTTGCAACCAGAAAACCGAAAGAAGCCAAAACTGGCAGATTTTGCCCGTCTCTACTTGTCTCCATGGACCAACTTTTGAAATGAATTATGCAGGAAGAAGGGGGAGAGGATTCCCTTCCCACGCTGACAAAGTTCCCTGAAATCAGATTTGGATTCCTTGGGTGTGCAGAGACATGCGAAGACAAATCTCATCCTCCTCCTGTTTGACTCTGTTGGTTCACCCCCTTGGCCTTCCAGTGATTCAGTCTCTCTTTACTATCCCGGAATGCCCTTGTTTTACAGTTCCTTTTAAATGCATGTGTTAATTATCTTGCCACTGCTGTAATTTCTCCCTGTAGTCCATTAATTAAGAGGTCACAATTTAAGAGCATGTTTACCCAATAAGCTTTCTTTTTTAATTATCTTAATTGCTTGGATAATGACAAAGACTCTGTCCTCCCCTCCTCCCTTTCTCCTTCATTGGATTAGCAAACAGCATTTGGGGAGGGGGGGGTGAAGCTTACAAGAATGGGTTTGTTAAATGTATAGGGACGTCTACCCTTGCCATGTCTTATGGCTCAAGGATCAATATAAAAGGGCTTTTTATTCCGGGTGTGGGATAGGGAAACCCAGAAAACTTCAAGAGGTTTGTCTCATGCTTTATCAGTAGATAATTAATTAAGGATGTCATTTATACTGTCCTTTTGCAGAGGGGGACAGGAAACAAAAATAAATGTGTTTGGGGAAAATTGTATTTGGAACCATCATTTTCTGTATTCGATTCTGATGATACAGTGCAGTCTTCTGTTCAGAACCACCAGTCGGGTTTAATAGCTTCTCACCTCCTTTGCAAAAAAGGAGCCAAACAAAATTTCCAAGCTTATTTGAAGGATTCATAAAAGGGTTTTCTGAAATTGAAGAGAAGGTGTGGGGCACCAAGTAGAAATTTAATTGTTAAGTGGGAGGGAGGAACTGCATGCAGAGAAAGAATTCCTGCCCCCCCCCAACATCATATAGGACAATATTTGACATGCAGACAAAAGGCGATTCCTTGGGTGGCTCCCCCCACCCCAATTTTAATAAAGCAAAGGCTTCGTTCAGATTAGCTATCTTGGGGAGCTGTCTAATCTAAAAGTAATATAAATTAATTAGAAGCCACTTAGGGGGAGCATGATTGATGCATGGAAAAATAGATGTGTGTCCCGTCCCCCCCACATTTTTTTGTTTCTCTGACGGATTACGGATGAGTGTTTAAGAGTTCGTTTGACCAGCCTGTCCACGTGTTTTGTCGATTGTGGCGGTGCCAGTCCGCACCAGTGGCTCCTTGGTAGTTAAAGACTCTTTAATAAAGATTAAGATGTCAAAGGGCCCTGCACTGAACAAAATCCCAAGTTTATTAACTTCTCATTATCAGCTTGAAATATGAAGGGCATTTTCTGCCTGCCCCCTTCTTGCCACCATCCTTGCTAATACTAAAATATCCCCTTGCAGTGGGAGCATGACTAGGCAATGTGTGTTTTGGAGGAGACAAAACAGCTAGCCGTTGACGCCGACGTTTCCCCTGTTGGCTTCAGTGGGGCTGCCTTCACAAGATTACACATTTGGGGACAACTTTTCCAACTCCGTGGCTGCTTTCGGCACCATAAGAAACAAAAACGTGTGCCAAGAAATCTGAATTCTGTTAAGCATATTTGCAGAATTGCTGTAATTACATATCCTGGAGCTTTGTACCAGGGATGGGGAGCCAGTGGCCCTCCAGAGGTTGCTGGACTACTACTCCCATAATTCCTCACTGCTGAACATGTTTGTAGGGGCTGATCAGAGTCTAAATCCACCAACATCTGGAGGGCCCATAGCTTCCCCCCACCCCTGTTTTATACTGTTTTGGATAAGGGCATTGAGGTCTCTGATAGTTCACAAGCTATTGGAGATCTTTCATCAGCATCCTTCCGGTGTCATGGGCTTTTATCAAGCCTGCCTACACACTTTCTCAACCATGTTTCCCACAACTATAAGGGAACATTTGGGTGATTCGTGACTCACATGCAGCCTCCATAAGCCTTCCCAGGAAAGCACCATGGATGTGCAAAGCTGTACCTTTGCACTGAAGTCATGCCTGCTGCTGCTGCTGCCACCTCTGAATTTTGCTGCTCAGTGGCTCAGAGGAGCATGACTGCAATGGGAGAGGAAGGTACACGGAAAGGGCCATTCCCATATACCTGCCTGGCAGGCTAAGGTAAGCATGGGAAGTCTATTGCAGCATGGGCCAAATGTAGCCCTCCAGGCCTCTCTATCTGGCATTCCAAACCTTCTCTAAGCCACACCCACTCCTTAGCCACACCTATTCTTCACAGGATATGCCCCTCACTGAACCAATACCTTCCTTGGCTGCTGTTGCTTGCCTTGAAGGTGTCCTTGAACTGTAACATTGCAAACAGAGTCTGGAGAGATAAGTGTGTACATGTGAAACTCTATTGTTTTAAGATGTAGCCAGCTGTAGGAAATGTACAAATCACTTCCATTGCCCCACCCACATTTGACGCAATCCAACCACCCATGGGGGCATGTGGCTCCCAGAAGGTTGCCAAGAAAGAATGTGGCCCTCAAATTAAAAAAAAAGGTTCCCACCGCTTGTCTAAGGCATAGGGACTAGTAACTTGCTGCTATCAGAAAAAACCCCACCTGTGTTCTGCATTTTCACTCACTAGGCCACATTATTTCCGTCTTTCTACTTTCCTGCAGGAGCAGACAACTGGCACACCCAAACCTGTTTGCAGAATGGAAACTGGAAAGGGATTTCTCAGCAAGCAAATGTTAAGACCGTAAGAAGGGCCTGCTGGATCAGACCAATGGCCCACCTATAGCTAAGCAACAGCACTCTCCTACAGTAGCCCATCAGATGCTTTCAGGTAGCCCACAAGCAGGGCAGGAAGCCAATAGCTGACCCTTTCTGATGCTTTCCATCAATTCAGGGGTGCTGAAGAAACTTGAATCCCTCCACACAGCTAGCTGCTAATCTTGGGCTTTCCTTTAGGACTGGGGTTCTCTATAAAGAAGGGATGAGGAGTTTCAGGCCTGGGAACCCTATGTGGCCCTCCATGCCTTTCTAACTGGCCCTTGTGACTTTCTATAGGACACACCCCCTGTCCCCAAGACCATACCCATCACCAGCCCTGCTTCGCAACCTCCTCGGTATGTTTTTGCCTTTTGGAAAGTGCTCTTGAACTCCAATGACGGTTCTTGCTTGTCTGGATGGAGGACATGTGTGGAAACAATGGCTAAATTCACATCTCTTGTTGTACCCACTTTTGCCTCTGAGCTTGCCAACAGCTGGCACTCGGCCCCCACAAGGTTGCAAGATGGAAATGCAGGTTGAAAAAATGAGTTCACCATCCCTGCTCTAGAGCAAAACTAAGTCAGCCTGTCACTTGCAACTGCCCCAGAAGTGGAAATGCCAATTCTACTTCTTCTCTCTTCACGCTTCCCCCTGCCCCACCCCCCGCCTTGATAAAGCAGGAATGGTGGACGCCGGCCTCCCAGCATTCAAGAGGAGGTGGCAAACATGAGCGGCGAGATGTCTCTTTCAAAAGGTATGTATGTACAAAAGGCATGATAAGTGGAGCCGAATGGCTGGGAGTGGCCAATTATCAGGCCGACGTATCGCTGTAGTCCCTCGAACTTTCTCAATAGCCGCAGAGTTCCACAAATACTCTGTTTACCAGGCCAGGTAAAAAAAGGGACTCTTAAATGCTGTGCAAATATGACTTGCCAGAGGACTTTGCTTTCTCACCTACTCTTGGGCTTTTCAAATCAGTATTATTAATTGGCCAGCTTATCGGTAAAGTGCTGTCTGGCAGTTAAAGGATGTTTCCACCCATCGCGTCACTGCATAGAAACTGAGTAATGTCAGTTGCAAGGACAAATAGCTTCAGAGCTTTGGATGGATAAAGATTTCCAACCCCCAATATTATTTGATTAGTGGGTTTTTTATTTAAAAAGTCTTACTTCCCATCTTTTACTTGTTTCAATTTTTCTATCTGACTATATCACAATGGTTTATCTAAAAGGAGCCTGTTCTAAATGAAAGTTAAAGAAAAGTCTATTGAAAGCTAGGTCAACTGAAAGGTCTTGAACCAAGTTTGGAAGGTGCATACATGAGTTGGGTTTCACAAGTGTTCAATAGAAAGTTCCCCATTATTGGTGGCCACATTACTGGTGGACACAAACTTAGTCATCCTTACAACAGACCCATTAAAATAAATGAGATTTAAGTTAGTCAGAATGTAAGGCTCATTTATTTCAACGGGTCTACTCTAAGTCTGAACCCAATTTGTACTTTATTAATAATTGCCAACTCAGGTCTCTGCACTTTTATACACATGGGGTTGTTGTTGTTTTTCAGAGGATGACCTTTCTCTCATTTTCAGAACTTAGGTATTGCTGAAATATGTAAGCAACTTAAGCAAGTAAGCAATACAAGTCCTGCCTCTATATCTGGCCTTTGGAACTCCTCCCATGCCAATGCCCTCTCCCCAGGCCACACCTCTCAATGGCCCTGCTATGCACCCTCCTTGAATGCTTTTGCCCAGCTGAAATGTGTCCTTGGACTCTGATGCTTCTTCCTTGCCTGAGTGGAGAATAGAGAAGGATGTGCTTGGGGTTGTGTGTAAAAAATTGCCTACTGTGCATTCATTGCTCCATCCCATTTTGCCCACGACTCTTCCTACAGCTGGCATTTGGCTGGCATAAAGCCCTAAACGACCTCGGAGCAGTATACCTGAAGGAACATCTCCACCTCTATCGTTCTGCCTGGACACTGAGGTCCAGCGGCAAGGGCCTTCTGGCGGTTCCCTCGCTGCGAGAAGCCAAGTTACAGGGAACCAGGCAGAGGGCCTTCTCGGTAGTGGCACCCGCCCTGTGGCACGCCCTCCCACCAGATGTCAAAGAGAAAAATAACTACCGAACTTTTAGAAGACATCTAAAGGCAGCCCTGTTTAGGGAAGCTTTTAATGTTTAATAGGTTATTGTATTTTAGTGTTTTGCTGGAAACCTCCCAGAGTGGCTGGGGAAACCCAGCCAGATGGGCGGGGTATAAATAATAAATTATTATTATTATTATTATTATTATTATTATTATTATTTGGTCCCTGGAAGGTTTTACAGAAGAAAATGTGAAGCTTGAGCTAAATAGGTTTCCTTGTCCCTTGCTTTGGAAGCTCAAAGTGTTGCATTGCGTTGCTTTTCATTTTTCAGTCTCTTACTAGAAAAGCTAAATGTCTACCGATATTTCATTTACTGTTTGTCTCAAGCATAAAACTTCTTGCAGTAAGATGCTATATGAATACTTTTGAGTTCACGGATTGATTCGTTGTGCAGGCAAGTGGTACAAAGAGAAGGGCAGGTTTATACCACCACCACCCCTCGACCAAATATCCTGCTTCTGCACCCACGCTAGCTATTGTTTCTTTTTTGATGGCATAATTTTAACATTCAGAGGTACACAAACATTCGCGA